ATCTTAAAGACAAAGGCAGAAAATATATCTAAAGAAACAATGATATTTGGAACAGTGGTCTGATTATTTTTTTTCTTATTGTCTCTCTTCGTACGTATTCATTGAATTAAGTTACATAATCAATCAGTTCATTGGTTTTCACCTATATCGCTCCAATAGTATTATTTCTTTAAATGGCGACACCTTTAGAGTTCATATTGATAAGGTTAATATATACGGACGGGACCGAAAAAATACGTTCACATTCAGAATCACGAGGTGTTCATAAAGGAGGGAGGCAAAACAAGCAAAATTCGCGCGGTGGGACCGGAGAGTGTTCAGTTTAACAGGTTGTTCATAAAGGAGGGGTGTTCACTAATAGAGGTTTTACTGTATATATTCATAAGATTCATCCAAGATTTAAACCTTCCTATATAAACAAGTGAGAAATTATTGTGAAATGAATTATCTAGCCGAGTTTTGTGTAGCGAACACAAATTGGAAATCAGTTTTCTTAGTTTAAAAAGAAATTGCATGGCTTCGAGCATAGACTTTAATAGTCACTGGACAGAAGAGACCACAGTTTAGTCTATACTAACTTGGTTTTTGAATTGTTTTTTCTTGACGTTTTAATGTCAAAATATGTTTCTTGATGAGATCTATCTATAGTAAAAAGGAACTATAATACAGCGTGCTTCAAAGAGAAAAGCTCAAAGTATAACCCCTTTGGAAGAACATTTCATTCGAATTTCGGAGTTTTTCACCTGCAGTCTTTCTTTTTTTCTATATATTACTCATACACATCTCAAATGCAATGAAATCGTAGTCTAGTCTTTTCTCCGTAGAATACGACGTCTCTGAACTCATAGGATCAAGCTACTGGTGAGAAAATGTCAAAATGTTAAGTAGATTATCAAGAATTTCATTAACAATAATTTTGGAAGACAGGAAAAGAAAATCTTTCTAGTTCATTTAAGTATCTAAATTTTCTCTATTACTAGGAAAATATACTGAGCAGATCAGTTGACACGTTATCAACGATATTTAACTATTTTTTTGTGTACCAAATTTTTTCTATATCTTGTAGAAAGAACTACAAAGAAAAACATGAAGTGAAGAGGCATGTTTTTCCGGGAATTTCACATGTAACATACTAAGAAAAATTAATCTTTCAATTGAAACGTTTAGAACTTATTTTTCTCTTTTTCCATTCGAAAGCTACTTAACCTTAATTTATCACGCGGACTTATTGAATAAATTAGATTTCTCCAAAAGTATTAGAGAAAAATGACAAACGAAGTTAAAGACTTCTTCTGGAATTTAGACATTGTAATAATATTCAAGGGTATTTATCTTTTGACATTATTATACATTTATCAAAAAAAATAAAACATGCATTGAAAGTATTTTCTTCGATCCAATGCCATTCATACTATTTGTGACTTATAAAAAAGAAGATAATAGATTGAAACAAAAGGATCTTAAAGATTCTAATAGCAATAAAAGTGTTAAAAGAAAGTCTTAAAACACTACAATCATTTTAGCACTTATTTTTATCAACTGAAACAACGTCGAATATGAACAAAGGTAACTATCTAATTAATCGAGAAGACATCATCAACAATATTTATTATTTTCATCTTGTATGGTTGGATAAAAATCTTAGTGAAAAAGACAATTATTATTCCAGTAGTGTTATTCAAGATATCAAGCAGATATTTAATAGTTCACATATATACGTGGATACTGATGAATGTCTTGATTATATCAGTGATATTGAAGATGACGGACAAAAAGTAATTATGATTTATTCTGGTGAATGTGTTGAAGATATAATCCATTGCTTTCGAGATATTTCACAAATCGATTCAATCTATATTTTTCAAGGAAACAGATCCAATCATAATAAATGGAAAGATTTATCACCAAAAGTAAAAGATGAATATGACGATTTAATATCGATATGTAAATCAATTAAACAAACTATCAGAAAATCCTATCAAGATTGTTTTGTTCCTCCTTGTCTTCAACCAAATAGTAAAACAGTCAAGAGCAAACACAATGAGTTGGAACCATCTTTTATGTATACGCTTATTATCAAAGAGATATTTTTAGATACCGATTTCAAACCGAAACATTTCAATGAATTTATCAATTATTGCCGTAGAAAATATTGTGATAACAAGGATATGCTTGAGAAAGTCATAGAATTTGAAAAAGAATATCACACATACGATGTGATCCACTGGTACACGAAGCCGAGTTTCATTTTTCAAATCCTCAATGAAGCATTACGTACAATGGATGCCGACTTAATTATTAAATTTGATTTTTTCATTCGCGATCTTCATCAACGAATCACTTTTCTTCATTTCCAACAGTATGGAAATTACAGATGGGGTTCATTTAAGGTATATCGAGGACAAGTAGTACCTCAAAAAATCTTTGATAAACTACTGCATACACAAGGTGGACTATTGTCATTCAATAATTTTCTATCAACTAGTCTCAAAGAAGGTGTAGCTTTAATTTATGCTGATCCTGGACAACCAAATTCTACTGATATTGGGATAATTTTTCGAATAGTGCTGGATCCTAACATAAAATCAAACGTTTTCGCAAAAGTGCAGAAATTTAGCTTTTTTCAGGAAGAAGAGGAGATTTTATTTTCCATGCATTCTATCTTTCGTATAGAAGAAGTGAAAATCCACACTGACGATACTCGTATTTGGATTGCAGATCTAACACTAACAGATGACACCGATGTGGAATTGTGCGAAGTAGCTGACGCTATTCGAAGAGACATTCAGGGGTCGACCTCATGGGAACGGCTTGGACATTTAATGATAAAAATGAATCTTTCAAAACAAGCTGAATTGATATATGAGAATTTACTACAAGACGCCACGGCTGAGGATAAGAAAGTACACATTTATCATCAACTTGGAGTAATCCAAAAACAAAAAGGTGATTTCAAAACTTCAAAGCAGTACTATGAATACTCTCAAGAAATTTATCAAAAGTATACTTGTTTCGCACAAGCTGTTTTAGCTGAAGCAGAGAGTGATTTAAGACGCATGTCTTCTAAAACGAACGAGTATTCGGAAACAATTCTGTTACTGCAAAAGGAATTTGAAATAATACGAGAATCTCTCTCTAATGATTCTCATTTGTTAGCTACTTCTATCAATAACATGGGTTCACTCTACGAGCGAAAGGGCGAGTTTCGAAAAGCGATTCAGCACTATGAAAAAGCGCTTGAGATGAGAGAAAAATTTCTTTCTCCAAATGATCCTTTGCTGGTCGCTTCTTATTGCAACGTTGGTACTGCATATTCAGACGTGGATAGGTACCAGGAGGCAATTTGGTACCAAATGAAAGCACTTAAAATTCAACAAGAATCTCGCCCTGATAAACATCATGAAGTGGCTATTGTTTATAACAATATTGGTCGCACTTTTCATAAAATGAAGGATTATCAAAGAGCACTTTCGTTTTACATGAAAGGGATGAAAATTCAAGAGAAATCTCTTCTTGAAAACAATCCTGACTTAGCTACTACCTATAACAACATTGGTCAAGTACATTCTGATATGGGCGATTACATAAAAGCAGAATGGTACCATCAATGTGCAATTAATATCAGACAAAAATGTCTTCCTGAAAACCATCCTGAAATGGCTATTTCTTACAATAACATTGCTTATACATTTTTTAAAAGGAAGAATTACAAAGAATCGATTTCATATTATAAAAAGGCAACTGAAATTCTACAATGTTGTCCTCAAAGCCATCCGAATTTAGCTGCTTTCTATCACAATATCGGTGAAGTGTATCATGAGATGGGTGACTATTTAAAAGCAGAACAGTCTTATAAAACAGCACTTGATATTCAACAACTATTTTTTTCTGACGATTATGGCGCCTTAGCCAATCGTAATGACAACCTTGGTTCTCTGTATTTACAATTGGAAAAATACCCTAAAGCAATACTATATTATAAAAAAGCACTTGCACTTAGACAAGAGTCTTTTCCGAAAAATCATCCTAAGTTGGCTGCCTCTTTCAATAATATAGGTGTACTGTACCGTCGAATGGGCAACTGTGCGGAAGCATTGTCAAATTATGAAAAAGGACTTGCAATTCTACGAAGCGTTCTCTCAGAAAACGACTGTGAACTAGCTATTTATAATAACAATATTGGTTTAGCTTATCATGAAGATGGGCAGCACGCAAAAGCACTTTTTTATTCTAAAGAAGCACTTAAAATTCAAGAAAAGTGTCTCCCTTCAAATCATCCTAATTTAATCGGTATTTTCAACAATATTGCTTTAGCTCATTGTGGAATGCGTGACTACTTCGAAGCGATTTCATATCATATACGAGCCACTGAAATTCAACACAAATCATTTGGTACAAATCATTGGGGGTTGGCTGCTTCATTCAACAATATCGCATGTGTGTGTTGCACAATAGGCATGTATCAGTGGGCCAAGCTTTTTGCACTACTTGCCGTGGATATTGGCCACCGTACCCTACCTATGAATCATTCAAACAACATTCGATATCGTCAGACTTTGGAATCCCTAACACGAGCTGCATAGGCATCGAAGAAGAAATAATTATCGATATCACTATCTGAGCTATTATCTGAATTAAAATAAGACTAAAATTATCTCTTCCATCTTTCTCTTCTTATTGAGTCCACTGAAAAATTTGAGTGTGTGAGTGGGTGGGTGTGGGTGTGGGTGTGGGAGTGAGTCTGGGTGTGGGTGTGGGTGTAGGTGTGGGTGTGGGTGTGGGAGTGAGTCTGGGTGTGGGTGTGGGTGTGGGTGGGTATGGGTGTAAATCAAGATGATTATCTAACATCCACACGTACATCCGCACCCACACCCACACCCACCCACAACCACACTCACACCCACATCCTCACCTACACCCTTCTTTTGTCAAAATGAACAGTAACAATGACTTGATCAGATTTTCATAAAAAGAAAAATTTTCTATCTATAGCATAATTTCTACGGCGTTAATACGTGTATTCAACATTTGCTTCCCTTCCTGATAGACATTTTATTCTTCTTGCTACAGTCATGATGTAAAAAATATTGTCCGATGACGATGTTCATTAGAGTTCATGTGGGTGTGGGTGTGGGTGGGTGGGTGTGGGTGTATGCGTTTGCTTTTGGTTCATTCACACCCACACCGACCCACACCCACACCCACACTCACACCCACATCCACACCCACACCCACACCCACACCCATACCCACATTCACACCCACACCCACACCCACACACCCACACCCTCAAGACGTAGCCGAAAAACGTGATACCAAGTCAAAGTTATTATTCTCTCGTCTTAGATACATTTTTAGTGATTAGTGATACTGCAAGTCTTGGATTCTAACCAATGCGATATTACTATTGACAGCAAGTAACTCTTATAATGAAACGCATTAGCTTCAGCTTTAGTATTAGATTCCATTTCTATATACCCCTCAATTACAGATCATCCAACGAATAAAACCGTTGCTAAATTCTACGAAAATAAGTCAGTATTATGGAGAAAACTCGATCTTATCGCTCCTTTTTTACAATTTCAGCTTCGACACCAACAAATGATTTTTTTTGTTTTAATTATCATTAATAATGCAATAAATTCTATTGATTCTTCTTCTCTTCTAAGTGCGATAATAACAACTTCCAATGTTTTCAATACATTAGTTCACAGCTATTAATGCTTTTACGGCATCATCTCACCAAATTGTCAACAAGCGAAAACGAGCCATAAGGCTATCATACTGTGAGAATCTAACAACGATTAATGTGTTACTCAAACTCGATGAAAAAGATAATTATAAGAGAAAAAATACAAAACAGTCGCAACTTCCATCGATAAAAAAAAGAGTAACTGCGCTGTTCCCTGCTACGGAAAATTCTCTTGACTTTGAGCGCCGACATCAAATCTTTCAAGAAACAAAATTGCATAAGTCTTTCTAATTTTCTTAGTAAACAAAACGAAAAACAAAACGTAGATGCGAATCTTAACAATGATGTTGTCGAAATGGACAACTTCTCCTCAAATCAAAACTTTGAAAGATTATATAATCTCTCGTCTACTATCTGTTCACCAATCTCACTACACTTTCCTGCAATACTGATCCATTATCAAATGCTTCAATTCATTCCTATATAAACACAAACAATTTCATCAACTAATCTTCACCTCTTTTATCACGTAATCGTTGTTATTCAGTTATCAGTTCAGGTTTAGCTAACGTCATGTCGCATAGATCATGTTCGCCGATCGTCTGCTTGGAATGTCTACCCAATACGTTCATTCCAAATGAAACAAATTTTCCGTGTGAGTGTTGTTACCTCCAAGGCGGGCTTACTTGTACTCAACTTTGGTATTTTATTTCTTGTTTATTCTTTTAATTCACAATTTTTATCTACGCTCGTATTTATAAATGGTTAACAGTTTATTCGTGGTTTTATTGTCGACCCTCTATGTTTGCCAAAAGCGATGAAACTAGAATATAATTTGATAAATATTTCAAAATAGAACTAATATGTTCACTCTTTATTCATGAGTAATCTTGGCTATGAGAATTCTGCATTTACATAATTAATGGAAATCCTTCTACCTGATAGATCTCGACGTGATAAATCTTTTTCTATCAAGAACGCCTCAAGATATCGTACAGATCTCTTAAAAGTTGCATTATGTCTAGCCCAGCTAAAATAACTGGAATAATTGATTTACCCCATATGAGGTAAATCAACGAAAATTGTTTTTTGAGTGCTCTCGGCAATTTAATTTGTGTGTATTTGCTTTTTAACTAGAATAATTGAAATTACTTTGAAAATGTAGAGAAATGTTTAGGCTTTCAAACGATCTAAAAACTTTCGAACTTGTATTTACAGAGTCTTTAAAAATAACGTTTTTTATGACTTAAGTAAAACTAGACGAAATTAGCTATAGTAATTGATTTACCCCAAACAGGGGTAAATCAAAGATTGAAGAGGTGGTCTTCTGAAAACCGGCGTAGATCCGCTCCTCAGTCTTATAGAGCTTTTTCTGCTCTACATAGTTGGTAGCGAAAATTTTTTTATCCGATGAAAAATAGAAAAGTTATAAGAGAAAAAAGAAGACACTACTGAAAACCTAATTGATTTATCCCACCTTACTCTGTAATTAAAGAGAAATGATCAATGGCAGCTGCAATGACAGTATCAAATAAATCTTCTCTTATTAATTCATCACAACATTCATCACCAGTAATTAATCCAATAGAATCATTTTCTCCAACTTCATCATCAACAACACTTTCACCTGAATCATCCAATTCAATGTCATCACCAGATAAATCATTTGTATTAAATGAACACCACCACCAACAACAATCAATTCGTCTTGTTGATTATTTTGTGGTTTGTGGATTAGATAAATATCTTGATGTTGAACCTTTATCCGAATTACCTAGTAAAAAACTAAAAAAAAATGTTTCAGTAGGTGAACAAGTTTTAAATCCATTTCAATGTTCATATCGATGTCGTGTATTATGTCATTATCCACATGAAGTTCCAAATAATCCATTTGATGAAGATGCGATTAGTCGTGTAAGAATTTTAATTTCAGAAAATATTTTTAATATTTTTTTTTTCTAAACAAATAGTCGTCAATGCCAGATGGTATTTCTATTCGACTAAATTCTCCTGATCCCCCAACAACACATCCTTTTTTAATAACACGTCTTGATGGAACACGTTATTATGGTGTTGCATTAACATTTTTTGAACAAATAAATAATGATGATGAAAATATTTCTCAATGTTCATCATCAACAGCATTTATTTCTTTAAATCGTTTAATTGAAAATTATAATCGAACATGTCGACATCAACGTCGTTCATCATTATTAATTTATGCAAGCAAAACTATTTGTTTAATTGGTCCACAAGCACATTATTCAATATTTAAACGTATTTTAGAACTTCTTTATCGTATGACAATTGAACATGATTTATATATACCATCTCCATCATTATCACATTCAGCTCTTAAATTTAATGTTGGTGAAAGAGAATTAACTGTTTGGCAACCAAGTATTCATGATAATGATTTACCTTTATTAGATTTTAATTTATTGGATTTTTTTTCTCTATTGGGCGTTGTTGATCTTGTTACATGTGCTTTATTAGAACATCAGATTATTCTGAAATCTTCAGGTCTTCATTTTTTTTTAATTCTTCATTTGATAAAACGAATTTTTTTATTATGCTCGACAAAAACTCAAGTTCATAATAGCTGTTTATACGTATGGGCAAGATGGTCTCGATCTCGTCGTGACAAGTATTGGTAAAATACGCTCTGACCATCGTTTTAATTAGGACATATGCCAGTCGATAGAGCTTGAAATCCTGAGTCTAGTGGATCACAGTGTAAGCCAATAGCTCAACAAAAGAAATGTTTGGAAAATGAAGTCAAACGTAGCTACTCTGCTACATCTTTTGAACTGACGAGGGCGACCAGGCATTTACCACAACTTTATCTAACGTCATTTTTCCGAACATCTATTTGCTTGAGTTTTTGGCTCAGAGCGTATTTTACTAATACTCTGCCGGGATCAGGACCAAAATTGACTTGCTCCACCCGTGTTTAGCTGTCTATCAACAGTATCTAGGCAAAAGTTTTGGAGTGAACGGGAATCACACGTTCAGGTGTGTTTAGATGTTTGCTTACGTGCTTTTTGTATATTGTTATGTGTTTTCTTTTGCTAAATTTTCAAATTTAATCTTGTTTGGAACAACGTTTTTAAGAAGATGTATCTGTCAAAATTTCACAATACAATATTTATGAACGAATGAAATACATACAAAAATAGATCAGTTGCTTAAATGATAATAACAAAATATAGCGACAATACCGTCTGAGAGTTGTGATGGAGTTTAACGTCGAGTTTGAACTGTTGTTTAATAGAAAGGAAACTATATGTTACAAGAACACTATTGTTTATCAACAATAGTTTTTTTAAACTGAACATTAGTATCTACTAAAAATTTCGATCATGCTTTTGGCCTCAGCGTGTTTCAATTTCTGTTTTGGTTGGATTCAATCTCAATCAACTAGCAAACGATTCACATATTGTTAATCTTTATTGAATGATCGAAAACTAGATTAAAATCAAAACCAACATTTTTAGTCTCTATAGATGCCTACTTAGAAATTCTTTTTAGATGGTCTTATAAGCCTTTTTTTTTCGAAAGTTATATTAGCGAGAGTCCAGACTATACCAAAATAT